TAAGTAGGTGCTTTAGACCACTGAGCCATCTCACCAGCCCCCCTTTCACTAAATTCTGATAGAGTGTCTCTAGTTTCCCAGGCAGGACCAGAACTTGTGATCCTCCTGCCTCAGCCTCCCAAAACGTTGGGTGTGCACCACCATGTGCAGTGCTGCAATGTAGTTTTCTATCCTCTCCATTTATACGTAAAGAAGTTGGGGAGGAAGGTCCAGGCCTACCGGAAGGAGAGGAGCCACAGCACTAAACCCAAGGCCAGCCCTTGCCTTGCCAGCAGCCTACACTCTTATGCTCACACGTGGATCGTGACCAGCTCAGCTGACCGAGAAGGCTAAGAAGCACAGGACTCTTGAAGAGACCCAGTGGTGCACGGCGGCCAAGCTGTCACTGGGGAGCTACGCTAACACAGCCAGGTGGGCACACACACCTCACCAAGGACAGCTCTGCCCCGCCCGTGGCCTGCTCATACTCCGGGATGGCAAGGGGAGGTGGACGAGAGGAGGGCAAGGCCCTAGTGCTCTTGGGCAGTGCGCCATCGTCCCAGGGGTGCAGGCAGAGGACACCTGCACGAGGCCACACACGTGCTCCCGTGGCTCTGGTACCTCCGCTCACTGTCTGCAGCTGACAGGCCATAAAAGGCTAAGGCAGGATGAGAAACGAAGGCAGCAAGAGTGGACCTGAGCAGCAGGCCTGAAGCCATGCCGACCAGCGCCAGCCGCCACAGCCTTCAGCACCACGCACACTTCCTGGCTGGCTCTGCTCCGCCCCAGAGGACCACTTCCTCCCCAGGCAGTGGAGACCGGGATGGAGCCCTTCTCCCATGTGCGTGCTCCTGACAGCCGCCCAGAGCCAGGAGGTCCACACCATGCTCTCGCATCACGTGCTGGCTCAGGAGAGCGGCTTAACCCATACAGGAGCACGCTATCACATCAGATGAAAGCCAGGCCTGCACCCAGGACCCCCGCCCCAGCCTCGTCCCTACCTGCACTTTAAAGGTGTCCCCAGTGATGCGGAGGGGCTTGTCTGTGCCTGTGGGCAGTGGGCCATCCTGGATCATGACCATCTTCACTCCCGTGCGCTCCTGTTGGGACCAGCACAGCCCTTGCTGTTAGACACAGGATGGCTGGGCTGTGTCCACTGCGAGCCCAGGCCCCCGTCCGCCCAGCTGCCATGGCTGTCCGCCCTGGCCTGTGGGCTGCTTCTGGGAACGTGCAAGACTCGCAGAGCAATTTCCCAAATGATTCTCTCTTCTGTCTCCAGTGCCCCGGACACCTGAGCGCCAGGGAGCCCTTTCCACTCTGCACAACGCTAAGTGCTTTATTTGCCAAGCAGGACCTCACGAGGACGGCCTAGTGCCACGCCACACTCCAGCAAGAGAGGGGCCTTCGAGTGGGCTGCGCGGACCAGGGCGCACCAGCAGTGGGCTGAAGTCATCTCTGAAATCAATCTCTTGGATCACTTGGACACCCCAAACCCTAAGCGCTGATATTCCAAGGAGGCCAAGGCAGGACTGCAAGAGGGTGAACCACGGCGAGCCTTGCCCCCCCACCTGTAGCCCCAACGTCCCCAAGCGCTGGGAGCAAGGGGCGTTCCTAACTACTGCAGCATCATCACAGACAACTCACAGACGCCTGGTCCCAGCCATTCTTTCACTAAGTGTGGCCACTCTGTGTGCTTGTGAAAAGTACACATTTGACTGCATACCCCAAGCCAAACCCTACAGGGGTCATTCACCTCAGAAATGTGTCTGGGCCCTGGCTTCTCAGATGAGGCGCTCTGGAGCCAAAAGCAGCTGTACTCAGCAACAGACTCACATGAAAACTATGAATGTCACTTCAGTTCTGCCATCAGAGCAGGGCCCCTCTGTTAGACACCAGGAGCAAACACACAACCAGCCAGGGGCATGGCAGGCCAGGCCAGCCTGCCTACTCTGACACCGCCCTACATCAGAGATGGAGACGCTGTCCTCTGGGATGAAGCAAACCCAGCAGGGCCTCAATGCTGAAAGCACAGGAGACCCAAGCAGGGCAGAAGGTGCACACGGGCAGCCTGGTGGCACTGCTCAGGGCTGTGTGGGGCTCACATACCTGCAGCTGCTTGATTGTTTCTCCTCCTTTGCCGATGACCAGGCCCACTTTCGAGGCAGGGATAAGTATCTCTTGGATCGTGCTGTTGCCGTCTACGTCATTGTGAAAACCAGGGCCATTCCGACAGCGGTCGACAATCTGCCCCAGGAGTCTTTTGGCTTGTCTTTGGGAGAAGAACCACAGGAGAATCAGCACGAAACACTCCAGGTGCGCAGGAAGGGCGAGCGCAAGGTGTCAGGGCAGCCCTCCATCCAGCTCCAGCTCCTGCCCCCAGCCACCCGGGAGGTGGCTCTGCCATCCGCCGTGCTACCCAGCTGGAACTCAGAAGCAACGCACGCCGACACCGCCACTCAACAAGAAACACGAGCCCCGCTGAGGACCCTGCCCTGCCCTGCCCGCGTCTCCACCACTGTGGCTGCCTCCTACGGGAAGCCATCTGCTCTGGTGACAGGGCATCCGTTCACTTCTTCACACGGCTCTCTCCCCACCCAGTTAACACTCTCAGAGTCAGCACTCACCACACGCTTGTTTAGAAAGGGCAGGAGAGAGAGCAATGAGAGGCGGAAAGGAAGAGCGAGGGTTAGTCGTCCCTGTCGGAGTCCCCAGTTCCTGAGCATCTTCTCCACAACGGACACGACTGCTCTGACTTCCAAACTGGGGCCACAAGTCACCATGTGGCTGCAGGAGGCGAGCCCCGCTCAGCGCGCCCCCACTGGTGGCTGCCCTGCACAGCCCTGCAGGGACCCTGAGCCTCCCACGCCAGGCTACTGGAGATTCGCCCAGCATGGGGGGGGGGGAGGCCGCCCAGTGGCACGGGTGGCCGGCCCACCAATGTCATCTTCGAGCCAGTTTCTTCCCGTTTCTGCACCAGAATCTTTCCTGGCTGTTATTTGCAGAATTTACCCTTCAAATTACTAAACACCACCTAGATTTTGGTTCCTTTGATAGAGAAAGACTCGGTCCCTCAACAGGCCGATGTCTGCTCCCCCAGAGTGATAATCCCATGGCCTGGACTCCCTGGGCCAGGGAAGCTGGAGTGTTAGCGGAGCTGGGAGAGAGGAGGAGAGAGGAAATGGCTGTTGCCTTTGTAGTCTTTGTGTGCACAATCACTCTGCGTTATCTTCTCGGTTACAGCGGCTTTTTAGTATTTTGCTGGTGCACTAGATTAACCTGTGCTGGGAGAAAAAAATGCCTCGTCTCCAGCAAGCCATCCAGCTTGCTCCCAGTGCACACCCGCTAGCAGTACTTATTCTGGTTCACCACTTGCAATGCTGCAGCACAAGAGAATTCAAGCTCATCTAGACTCCCGAGAAATGGAAACAATAAAACCACGATACCTAGCGAGCCAGACATAATCTTAGTGCCCGTCCCCAAGTGCAGCGCCACTCAGTAGACTGGAGAAGACAAGTAAGGTGATTAGAGTCAGCACAGCCCTGCCCAGGACCGCCCGGGGCGAGGAGCCGGCCCCTGGCCTGAGGCTCTGAGCATGCGGCACCCAGACAGAAAAGCAATGCCCATTTGCAGCTGGTACGCGGGCGCAAAGTCAAAGGGCCTCTAGCTGCTCCATACAGCTGGCTGTGACCAAGCCCACACGCAGTGGATGTACTGGGTTCACTAATGTCAGCAGGGTGAAGAGGGCCAGCCCCACGAACACCTGGGCTAGGACTGCAGGCACAGGCACACTGGTCCAGACCTGCCCAGGAGGTGCTAACACAAGGAGGAAGCTGATTAGCACCCCCAGGTGGGCCGACATCTGCACCCAGGAGATCCTGCCTCACTTGCAAAGGAGATGTTAAGACAGCTGTGAAGTGCTCTGCAGGGAGAGGGCAAGAGGTGACACCTTGGGACAGTAACAGAAAAGCTCCCCTGGTGTGGTGACCTCCCAGTCTTCCTATGGGAGCATCTGCTGGGTGGCCAGGCTGCAGCACAGACTGACGGTGTTCAGTATCGATTCTGCCCTTCCATTTCTCCCCACTTGGGGAAGGAGGAAGAAGAGTGAAAGGAAAAAGTAAATAAAACAAACTTACTCAATACTTTCTGGGGTTCCGGTAAGTACACAGGGCCTCTCTGGAATCCCAGAACTCTCTATAAGAAGAATCAAGAAGATGAGGTGTGTTGGTGGGCATCAGGCAACGGGTGCCTCTGCCTGTGTGCAGACTGGCTCTCCGGGGCTGCTTCCTACACCAGCCCCACAGATGCCCAGCCTCCCAAAAAGACAGTTCACTTCACTTGGGGACTGAACTGAGCTGTTCTCAGAGGAGAAACAAGTCTCACAGGGGAGTCAGGAGGACGCAGCAGAGGGCTGTGAACGGATCCTGAGCACAGCCCAGCTCCGGTACCACCTGCGCGCTATCGGCCTGCCGAGTCACTTGACTGTGCTAGCCCTCAGCCTCTCCGCTTGTAGCCCTCAACGGTCACATGTCTGCAAACAGCTCTGAGGCACACCAGTGGGGAACGTGAGGTAAGCAAGTCAGGACTATCCCACCAGCTACTGCATGCCTGTCCCAAGAGGTCAGTGACACCGTGTGCAACTGGCCCTGACCGTCTGGCGGGCACAGACCTGACACCACACATGATGCTTTGGCTTCTAAAAAGCTACTTTAAAAAAATCTTTCCTCAAAAAAAGAAATACCTAATAGCACTCTGATGAGTATTTTTTATAGAATGACAAACATTTCTTCAATCAAATATCCCCAGATCCCTTCCCACTGGAAAAAGGTCAAACTCAAATGAGAGGATAAAAGTGCAAATAAAATAAAACCTGTTCTTTAATCTGTTTCTCTCCATATCACGCCACCCAAGCTGGCCCTGCTGGGAATGTGTCTGGCATGTGTTGATTTGGCCAAAACCCCCAGCTATCCTCTTTCCACAAAGGGGTGGGACAGTTGTCCAGGGGAGGCAGTGTGCAGTCCCCAGAGTGACCCCAAAGCCGTGGGACTCCTCAGGCCCCACTGTGCCCGGCATAACATTCTGGTGCAGAAAACACAGGTCCTAGGCAGCACCCTGCCACGGCGCCCTCTGCACAGCCGTCTGGGTGGCCTGTGCTCCAGCGCTCCTGCAGGAGTCCAGCTCCACAAGTGCAAGCCGACAGCAGCCACACATCCTCACCAAGCCCAGACTTCCAAGCAACAGGCAAAAGTACTGAAGCTGGAAACATTTGCAAAATACTCATTTCTACTGAACTGAGATCTCTGAAAAAGAAATCTTACCTGAGGCAATTTGAATTTTGCAACCAGATTCTGCTTGAATCCGTGAAATCTGCTCACCTCCCCTGCCAATAACTGAAACAAATTGAACAAGGTCAGAATACAGCTCTGGCTAACATCTCATCATGCACACTTGGCTCAGAGCTCACAACACACCGTGCCAGTCTCCGAGCCCTCGTGCAGTCTATGGGCACCACGGCAGCAGAAAGCACACGTGGAACACAGCAGGCAGACACGGAGGACGACCCGGAAGGGAAGGGGCCTGCCCTGCCGCACGCTCGGGGCTCTGCCATGGCCCGAGGCCCGCAGCACTCTGGCTGTGCGAACACATGCAAGGTGGCTCACGTGAGCGGGCTCAGAGTCAAAAGGACACACAGAAAGGCAGGGAAAGGAGGATGAGGTAGATACTTACTAAACCCAACCATTTTATCAGGCACTTTGAATTCTTCTGTTATGACTGCCCTGAAAACAAAAACATTTTGGAAATATTGTAGAATAAAAATTTCGGCAGCTGTTTTATTTATTTTTCCTGCAGCTATTTCAGAGTCACAAATTTCCCACCCTGGCAATGCCGTCAGACTCCCAATGAGCCGGGCCAGCTGACCAACACACCAGCGCCTCGAGGGCCAGGTAGGGAGCCCCAGGCACCTGCCCCAGAACAGATCCAGCCTCCACCTTCTCCCAGCAGAGGAAGAAATCTCAGAGCGGTTTTCAACTGTCAGCTCCTCTAGGACCTGCCTCTGCCGCACACAGCTGCTCTCGGCTGCCAGGTCCTCCTGGCTCCCAGCCACCAACCCGGGATCTTCAAGGTCCTCTAGAGTCCACGGAGGTGTTCAGACTTCTATCACAGAGTCCTTTCCAGAGGAAGGAACACTCTCTCCTTCACCTGTTTCCCAACCTGTGGTCGCCTCTTGGCCTCCCTGCAAGTGTCCGTGTCTTTCAGGTGAGGTGTCCCCGAATGGAGCGAGCAGTCCACAGGGGCCACGGTGCCAAGCAAACCGGGAAGGAGCTGTCCATTATGTGCCTTTCCTTTTTTTAATTATTGCATTGGCTTTTTCAAACAAACCTTCCAATTTGCCATACCATGTATTGAGGATGATATCCAATTTACCCAACACCCCAGAAAGCAATTAAATGTAAACATTTACCTTGGAAGGAAGCTAAATGCAAGTAGTGTTTTGTTTGTTTGTTTCTTTTTTTTAAGGCAAGCATTTTTAAACATCTCTCACACAGCTGGATTTTTACCCATCATGAGGAGGACTGCAGGAAGTGGCCATTTTTCAGGAAAGTGTGACACTTAGAAGAAATGCAATAGCATAAGCAGCACTTGCCACGCTGTCACTGCAATGGAGCAAACAGTCTCCTCCGGCTGCAGTTTACAATCCTGGACCATGCACAGGCGCTCCAGCCTCGCAGGAAGCGCGGACGCTCACCCCAATGCAGCCAGTGCCTGGCCTGGCTTCCTACTCGGCCCCGCAGGCCTCGCATCTCACAGTGGACACCAGAGGCTGACAGCAGCCCAGACGTGGAGCAACTGCTGGCTGCTGCTCCCACTGCGCACTGCACGAGCCGTCTCCTCTCAGAAGACAGTACTTGGGGACTGGCTAAAGGTCTTCAAGGACCTGTGTCGGGGCAATGTCACAGCTCGGCAGTTCCCAGACCCCTAGGAACCTTAATGGGCTCTCTGGGGAAGAAATATCCCAAGATGACTGCTTTGGGCCTTTTGCTAAAGGCGAGGCTGAGACCCATCTAATGCATCAAGCATAATCACTTGGGAAAGCGACACCCTGCTATGGTGTAAGTGGAAATCCAGGGCTTGAGACGAACACAGCCTTGTTTTTACATTATTTTAATAAAAAAAAATTACACAAGAGAATCTGATATAAATATTTTGGCTAACTGATCCTGGTTATTAAAATTCCAAAATTCATGCAGAATGCAGAGAACAGAGCTGTGACGTGGGCAGTGAAGGTTAAGGGAGACCTTCCAGCAAAGAAACTGGCACCATATCCTGTCCCCTTTAAGGGTGACACTGGACAATGAACAGCTTATCTTACAGATTGGCTTTTTTAAAGCTCAGCTGTCCTTACTCGGCAGTTATTAGAAGCTGTGAGGGGAGACAGAGACAGAGGGCCAGCGGGCACCTGGCTGAAGCCCTGCCAAGTCCCTATGCCAAGGCAGGCTGGCACCCTGGCATCTGCAGCACTAGGAGTGCTCTCTGCGATGCCAAGGCCTCCCACTCTGGAGCGAGGATGTTAAAGGTTTGTGAGACACAGGCAAAACCCTAAAACCAGATGGTCAATTTCACATTCTCTCCTTTAAAAATAAATGTACATCGTCAGGCGAAAGAGCAGCTCCAGCGCTCCGCGCGTCCTGCAGCTGCTGGCAGCAGGGGCCAATCTCCAGGGCCTTCTACGGCTGCAGGGCCGGCCTGCGCTGTCTCGGAGAGGGCTGCAGGAAACTCCCAGTCTTAAAGAAATGGAGCCCAGGGCTTCCTGCGCTCCCAACCTCTGACTTCCTCACACTCTAGTACAGATGGTGGATCAATAAACAATTAGAAATGATCAATAAATAATAAAACATAACCCACTGCTTACCTTTGATGTACCAAGGCCCCTAACTGGTTACCTACTGTGGCAAAGAGAAAGAGAAAAGAAAAATCAAAGCATTAGCACGGATAAACTAACTTCATCCTTACACGAATTCTTACCATTTCAGGGAGAAAAGGAGGCAGAAAGAAAGCAAACAGTAATTTAGGCTCAGCGGCTGCAATGAATGCGTTACATGATATGACACAGGAGGGACGCCTTGATCAGCACTGTCTCTAGCCCAGAGTCCAGCTGAACGCAGGATAAGAAATTGATCTGTGTGTCCACATGCTGAGAGGCCTGGGAGAAAATCCTGCCTCCCTAAATCCTCTAACTTCCTACCTCCCTCCTGCTTGGGATCCCAACTCAATGTAAAGCCGAGGAGAGGGCTCCTTCTCTCTTTTAAAAACAAATGAGAAGATTTAACCTCCTCGGAAGCATTGTTAAGGACTGCGCAGTGGCAGCTGTAGTCACTGAGAACAGGCACATATGTTCCTGGTGGCCCCGCCTCGCGGCCTCCTCCCCAGCCAGGCCCACCGCGGCCCTCCGTGCGCCGTTAAGAACTTGCAGCCGCCTCTCAAGCCCATTTCACAGAGACAACAGTGCCAAAGAGCCTCTCATTATTAAAACCGACTCTGTAATCACATTCCCACAAAACCACTTTAGCTACGCTTTTTGTTCCAGTTTCTCTTCTTTCAGCTATTGATGAGTGTCTCCTTCACTAGCCATCAGCAAAAATGATTCTGTGGCATTTCTCTTTCGAAAACTGCAGCACAGGAAATAGAGTCAGCAGACAATAACCAAGCACAAACCCCACACACACTGCGAAGACCTGAAGGTGCCTTCCAAGAGGCTAACACCGACGTTCAAATATGCACCTCTGGAGAACGCGACTAACAGCTAGCCAAGAGGGAACGGACAGGGTCCACGACATCAACTTCAGGACGCACGCATAAAGGGTGGACACAGCAAACACACAACTCCTGCTGCTCTTCTTCCTGTTCAAATGCAATCCTGTCATTCAGTCTGGCCAGTAGCTGGTCAGACACAAAGGAAAAGAAAGCAGATTGTGACATTTCGAAAGAAGTTAAAGCATGGAGAAACAATGCTAGCTAGAAGTCAGCGAAGCTACTAAGCTTACTGAAATTGTACCAGGGAATTTCTTCCGGCTCAATAACGAGATAACGGTCTGCAGCCAAAATACTGACACCACGTGCTGTGCTCTGCTGTCTCAGGGATGAGAGCGCTGTTTTCTAACGGGCTCCTAAAGTGCTCTTTCTGCATACCTACTCGGACTGTAACAAATGCTCCTGCTTGGGGTACAGAGCTCACAATTCCTATTCCACCCGAAAACTAGTCAACCCCCAGCTTAAGCGAGGCCTCACCTCACCGAGAGGGCTGCCCACCCCCGAAGGCAGAAGGAAGAAGATAAACAAACGGAAAACATGGAGGCAGAGTACCTGAGGCTCTGCTTAGCCACTGAGGTCCAGAGTCAAGCACAGCTCTCTCGGCTGCCACCAGAACTCATCTCCCGGTAGGTAAAGCATCCACTGTCCAGAACTAGGAGGACAAAGGACAGCTGCCCACTGACCAGGCCCCTGGCCACTGCCTGCTGGGTCAGAGACAGAAACGGCCCATGACCTTCAGCTACAGCGGTCTCAGAAGAGCCACAGAAACAGAGCAGAGGGCAGCGCTCCACAGACAGCCCTGCGACTCAGGGGAACACTCAGAGGACGTCTTCTCCAAGGCCACTCACAGCAGCCATTCTACTCACCACCAAAATGGAAATTCCTTCTTGACAATGTGTACAGCACAAATGTCACGTGAGCAGTGCCATCTTTGACATCCAACTCTGCTGACAAGTGCTGGTGTGCAGAGACGGAAGTGAAGCCACACAAGCCACGGCTCCACGCTATTGGGGAGGGCCACACCACCTAGGAGGGCGGCTCCAGATCCAGTCAGTGAGTGAACTGTGGGAGGCCTGAGGAGCCCCGTCCCCCTCCCAGGGCACATGCTGCGACCCAACGCTGAAGACCCTCTCCCTTAGAGCACAGTCACATTTAGGACCTAAAACCGAAAGTCAGCACAGCTGGGAGAGGTCCCAGCTCACCTGGCAAGTGGGTGTCCAGCCCCAGGACCAGAACCTCCTTCTGGTCCTCCCTGGAGCAGGGGCACAGCAGGAGGCTGGTGGGAATGACTACCAAGCTCAGTTTAATGTAAGTGCAGTCACTTTACTGCAAAAGTGGAAAAGCTGAATAAAATCAGTCCCATTTCTTGCTAACAGGGCAAGCTGGCCGGCCAAGCCTCACCCTCTTCCCAAGGCCCCTCCGCTGAATTTGTGTGCACTCACGCACACAGGGCAGCTCGCCTTTATCCTGCACACCGCGCAGTTAGGGGCTGCTTGCTTGGGCTGCGCGCAGAAAATGCATCTCACAGAAGAAGTCATCCTCTGATACTCTACCAATTTCAGTAATGCTCCAAAAGTCAGGTGGCCAGAGGTATTAGTGAGGAGGGGAACAGTCTTCCTTTATCTTCTCCCAAAGAAACACCAACAAGCTTATTACTGGGCAACAGGCCCGACTTTTCAGCGGGCGTCCACGCACAGTCACCTGCCGGCCCACAAGCCCCAGGAAGGAGAGCGGCAGTCGGCGGCCGTGCCCGGTTGCACGGCTGGGGCTCAGCACCACCTCACCGAACCTTGCCTGCTGCTTGGGAGGCCTCCCATGGACTCTCTGCCCATGGCCAGGGAGACACAAAGGCTTCCTGTGTCTGCCTCCCCAAGTTCAACCGGAAGGACCCTGGCAAGTAACCTGTGATTAATTTTGCAAATATTTATTTTTCAAAAGCAAGGGGGGGCTGGCGAGATGGCTCACTGGTCTAAAGCACCTACATGGAACAAGCTTGGCAAAGCACAGGGACCACGGTTCGATCCCCCAGCACCACATGCCAGCCAGCCCCGCCACCTGGAGGGCTGAGCTGGCCACACACACACAATAAATAAATAAATAAATGTTAAAAAAAAAAATTATCAAAAGCAAGGGAAGATTCAAGTTTCTCTCAACTCGCCAGTCCGCCAGGCAGTCTAGTCAAGTGCCTCCCCGAGCCCGCGGAGGATGGGGCCTGCTCCCCTGGGCACCTCACTCACTGCTGCACTCCACGACCCCCACTGGGCTCGCAGGTGCCAATGCGAGGCTGGGCCCAAGGACGCAACAACAAAGGAGACAGTGAGCCCTCGGGTGGGGCAGGCAGGGTGCTGCGTGAGCAGGGGTCTCATCTGGCCTGGCAGGGCCGAGGGGTGCAGGGCCAGGGCCTCACCCCAAGAGCCGTGAGCGACAGAGATGGAACACTAACTCCGGGACCTTCTCATCACAGCACTTAGCTGTCTTTTCTTTTTTATTTTAGGGAAGGGTCTGAGGGGTGGTCAGGGTCTCACTACTAGGTTGGTCTCCTGTTTACAGCCTCCCAAGAGCGGGGATTATGCGCACCACCACCCCCAGTCTCATCCCATCTCAGCGCGCCCTGGGTGGGGCAGGGCCGGCACAGCAGTCCAGAGGATCGAACCCCGGGCGATGCCTGCTTGCAGGCGCTCTGATCTGCTGAGCTATTTGGCCAGCCCCAAGCTGTATTTTCATTTAAGCCAGTGAGGTCAAGAGAGGACGTCACGAGGAGCTCACCTGAAGACAACACAGAAAACGTGTGCACAGAGTAAGAGTGTGCGCACATGCCTCCGCCACGCAGGCCTCAGGCCTCAGCACCCCTACTAGCTCTGCTGGGAAACTGTTTACTCAGACTGTTAGCAATGTTTTTAAGTGACAGATGATCTCATGACGTGTAATGAGCTACAGCTTACAGGTGAGGAAAGCCTCAGACATGTTAAGACACCCGCCCAAAGTAACACAGCTAGCTACTGGCAGAGCTGGGACTTCAGCTCCAGCTGATGCGACTTTCAAGCTACACCATCACGGATGTGACATGGGCCACAGAAAAGTCCTATGGCTGAGTAGGCTTCTGTGTTTGGTCAAAGCACGAACCTCTCCAGACTGCAGTCTCTGTGAGTTTCCGCTGCAACTTCCCTTGTAATTTGGTCTCTTCTTACCCCTCCTGCAATTCCTCCAGTGTTCAATCTTAATTCCTCCCATCTCTCACCTACTGTTCCAAATATCCCCAAAATACCGGCTAGCCAGGAAGTATGCGGCACTTCCTGGAGTTGTGTCCAGACTGCCACATAGACAGTCTGTTCCTTTTCCCTGCCGAGTAATATTCCATGACATGGCTGACCTTTTAGCCCTTCATGGGGCATCTATTCTGGGGAGGGGGTCATTAGGACGGCACTGTCTCGAGGCTTGCGGAGAGGTTTTTGTGCAACCATTAAGTTTTCCTTTCCTGGTGATAAACACTCAGGGGTGCACCTGTGGGCTATATGGGAAGGACTACAGTTTTGTAAGACTGCAAAATACTTTTCTGGGGAGCCCATACCGTCACAGTGTTAACGAAAGCTTCCTGGGTGATTCTTTTTCTTTTTTTTCCTTTGGTGGAACTAGGGATTGAACTTAGGCCCTTGCGCTTTCCAGGGAAGCGGTTATTCCAGAGCCATCTCCCTGGCCCCACCTGGGTGATTCTTACATCCAGCTAGGGTACAAAGCCACTCTGGCTAAAGCACCTACTCCCTAAGAGCTTTGAAAATCCAGGGACTCAGTGAACCCAGCACCTCCCTGCCCCAGGCTAAGAGGCCAAGCAAGCACAGGCGAGCCAGTGAGAAACTCTACTACTCCCCCTGTCGGCTGAGCACTGCAGCCACCTGCTCCATGTCTCCAAGAGGCTCCTGTGTTCACTCCTTTGCCACCTGATATGGACAAGCCCCGTGCAATGCCACTTCACTACGGATGGAGGGTGGAAGGAAAGGCTGGGGTTACTGATAAAGTCAGGCCTCTCCCAAGTCACCTGGGGCTTCCCAGTCCCAGCCCTTGCCCACCTCCTGAGACCCTCACACCTGCCCAGGAAGGGCAAGAAGCCAGTGGACAGCCTCAGAGCAGTCACCCCAGG